TTTCCACCAGAATGAACTGGGGAGGAGGAGGCAAATCTGAAGATGAGCAAACCATAGTGCCATTCAGAGGCATCAGAAACTAAAGCCTGAGGGGCGTCTGGGTGGCTCAATTGGTTAAGCAGCCGACTCTTGATGTCAGCTCAGTCCATGATCTCATGGTTCGTAAGTTCAAGCCCCACGTTGGGCTCTGTGCTCACAGTGCAGAGCCTGCTTCAGATCATCTGTCTTCCTCTCTCTCTGCCCCTCCTGCACTCACACTCCTTCTCTCTCTCAAAAATAAATAAATGTAAAAAAAAAAAAAAAGGAAAGAAACTAAAGTCCAAGATTCTGCAATAGCACAGATTTTTTTTTTCTTATTCCCTTTCATCACTTGTGAGTAAAATGTAGAACCGGAGAAGGGGAATAACAGTTACACTACCTAGAGTTGTATGGCATTTTCTATTTTTCCCCAACTTTTATTTTTTTAAACTGTTTTATTTTATTCTTTCAGCAATCTGTGATATAAATAGAGCCAGTATTATTATCTTTATTTCTGAGATGAGAACAGTGAGGCCCAGAAAGGGGAAGTGACCTCCATCAAATCATGCAGTGACTCAAAGACGGCCCAAGGAATAATACCCAGTTCTGCTCTCATTTAATCCAAAACATTTACCCTACTGGCTTTAAACGTCCCTTTCCTCCTTCGTTTTTGGTGGCGGTTCTCTTTTGAAACGATCCCTCGCCAACTGTAGACTGAAGACGGATCCATGTTCAGAGTTGCAGACAACTGTTGTTTAAAGGCCCCCCAAGGGGCCTGTTTCCATTGCTTACCTGCAAAGCCCATGTTTGAACCTGTGACGGAAGTCCCTTAGAGGCATCTGTTGGGATTGCTCCCACCCGAGACGGCTGTAATTAGCTCTGCTAACAACTGTGATTGAACAGGGTTTGTTGTAGTCATTGTTCACTGACAGGCACAGAAAAGAGCCAGATCTCAGCAAGTGGTGTTCTAAATGGTGTTTCCTGCTTGGTTAAACTCACATACGGCACTTGTCAGGGATGCTATTCCCAAACTCGGCTAGCAGCAGGCAACGTCATTGCCAACACCTTCCAGAGCCCATGGAGAAGGCCATGACAGATTCTCAGGGAATGCACTGCCACGCAATGGGAAAGACTGTCTCTATTTGACCTTGCCCAGGATCTGGCTGCCCCTCCTTCTTATGGAAAACACAGGTGTGGCCTGGCATGATTAAGGGAAAAGGCAGTCTTTGTATTCCTGATCCTAAAGACTCCCACAGTTTCAGATCTCCCCTTTGAGAACACTTGTAAGCGAAAGTTCTAATGTGTGGTACATTCCGCCCATGCTTTTCTGAGACTGTGCTCTTATTAGAAGCAAAACAAAATGCTGCTTATGAACACCTGCTGGTGAGCACCAAGCCAAGAGGCAGCGTGGGCGTTGGATGAGAGGTGTTGCCCTGGCAGTAAATCTAAGTTGCTCACACCAAAGTAAGGGTTTCTAGGGAAGCTATCTGAGCGAGAGGCAAATACTTAGTCATTCAGAGCAGGCCATAAAGGAGTGCTTCTTTCCAACAAGGGAAGGTCTGACTCCAAAGAGCTTAAAAAATGGTTAGCATTTCTCTCTTCAATCCATCCTTTTATTCACAATATATATTTCTTTGTTAAGAAATAGGAGGCTCTGTAATCAAACCCTTGTTGACAAGTTGTTAAAGAGCTACAATTTATCTGCTTGGTGTTACTTCAACAATAGTTTTTGCATTATGATTCTAAGTCACTTAATAAAAGAGTACCCAGGCCCTGGTGTGGTCTAAAATACCGGAAGCTTTGGTGGCTCAGTCGGTTAAATGTCCAGCTCTTGATTTCAGTGCAGGTCATGATCTCACGGTCTTGACATTGAGCCCTGCATCCCAGCTCTGTTCTGAGAGTATGGACCTTGCTTAAGATTCTCTCTCTCCCTCTCTCTGCCCTTCCCCCATGCTTGCACAGGTGTGCTTATGGGTACACACTTTCTCTCAAAAAACAGAACAGAATAGGGGCGCCTCAGTGGCTCAGTTGGTTAAGTGTCTGACTCTTGGTTTCGGCTCAGGTCATGATCTCACAATTCATGAGTTTGAGCCCCTCTGCTGACAGCACGGAGCCTGCCTCAGATTCTATCTCTCCCTCTTTCCCTGCTCCTCCCCCCCACCCCCCGCCACCAAGTAAATAAGTAAACTTAAAAAATAAATAAAAGAAAATAAAATAAAAAATAAATAAAATAAAATAAAAATAAAATAAAATAAATAAAATAAAATAAAATAAAATAAAATAAAATAAAATAAAATAAAATAAAATAAAATAAAATAAAATAAAATAAAATTTGTGTTGTATGTATCTTGTGTCTTCTTACCTACTCCCCAACACCACCAAGTTTTAAGATTTGACTTCTCGGGGCGCCTGGGTGGAGCAGTCGGTTAAGCATCCGACTTCAGCCAGGTCACGATCTCGCGGTCCGTGAGTTCGAGCCCCGCGTCGGGTTCTGGGCTGATGGCTCAGAGCCTGGAGCCTGTTTCCGATTCTGTGTCTCCCTCTCTCTCTGCCCCTCCCCCGTTCATGCTCTGTCTCTCTCTGTCCCAAAAATAAATAAACGTTGAAAAAAAAAATTAAAAAAAAAAATTCGACTTCTTAAGCATTTCCTATAATCGGTCTCCTTGTTTCAGCGTTCACTGCTATTGCCACCATAGTTCAAGGATTTATCGTCTCTTACCTATGTACTGCAAAAGCCCAGTCTCCTAAACGGTCTCCCCTGCTCACTGGCCTCCCATCCCATCTCCCATCCATCTTATCATCACCTCCAATTATCCTTCCAAATCACAGGCCAAGTCGGATCACTCACAAACCCATCATGGCTCTCCAATGCCCACAGAAACAAAGACCAAACTAGAGAATTCAGCATCATAGTAAAAGCCCTGCATCTAGCCTCTATATAGTGTATCATTCATGTATCCTAATTCCTACTGATACCAGATAAATTACCCTTGCATTAAAAAACCATCATTTCGTATCTTGGAGCCTTCCATCTTACAAAATCACCCTTCTGTTTCAATTCAATTGCAGCTTCCTCCAGGAAATTTTCCACCCTTTCTTCCAACCCAAATCAATCACTGTCTCCTCCAAGCTCATAAAGCACCATAGATATGTGTATATATGGTTTATTGAGATATGAGTCACATACCATACAATCCACCCATGTAAAGTGTACAATGTGATGTTTTTTAGTATAGACTTGTGCAGTCATCACAATTTTAGAACATTTTAATCACCCCAAAAAGGAATCCTGTACCCATTAAGAGTGCCTTCCCATTTGTCCTCCTCCCGCCCTACGCAATCCTAATCTACTTTCTATCTCTATAGATTTGCCTATTCACAAAGCTTCATGTCACTGGAATCCTACAATACGTGGTTCTTTGTGACTGGCTTTTCTCATTTTACACATTTTTTCCAGAGTTCATCCATGTTTTAGCACACATCAGTACTTCATTCCATTTTATTGTTAACAGTCCGACGTATGGATACACTATGTTTTATTTATTTTTTAAATCAATGACATTTGGGTTGTTACAACATTTTAGCAATTATAATGCCTCATGTAGACTTTGATTGTCATTTAGTACGTATGGCTTAGTACTAGAGGGTTTCCGTTTGTTTGGCCTGGGTCTGTTTTATCACTGGATGATAAACTCCTATGGACAAAGAACATTATTTTCATTCCGTAATCTCATATGCCAAGTATTCAATAAATGTTCGAAAGATGGATAAATGGGCAGATATCAGAGGTTTTTACTGTCGATTATAACACAAGGTACTCCAAATAAAAATATTAGAGTGGAAGCAGTAATAACACAAGGAGAGTCCCCATAAATTTACCCAGTAAATTATAACAAACACAGGTGGTTCTTAAATAAACTTTAATCTTGGCGCTATTTCCTGGAACTCCACACATGGATCCTACAGTTGACTTTTTTCATGGAAGCAGTTCCTTTGTTAATAATAGTGGCAAAGTAGGTAAACACAAGCCTGGAAGATGCTAGACTTTTTCTCCTAAATGGACTCCACGGTGTTTTCTTGTTGCTCTTGGCTTGTCTGAGTTTATTATTATCGTCTGTCTAGGACAGTGGTTCTCCACCCTGGCTGACCATCAGAATCCCCTGTGGAGCTTTACAAGATACAAATTATTTGGGTCCCGCCTCCCAGAGTATGATTCTAAGCTTGGGTAGGGATCCAGGTTCTAAAAGCTATAAAGATGCTTCCAATGCATAGCCAATTTCAAGAATTCCTATATCAAAAGTTGCCCTGAGGTTAAAAGAATTAATCATATACAGCATGTATGAGCACTTGACTCCTAGAGAGTATTTTACTCATCCTGGGATCATGCCCATTAATACTACCTAACATTTATAAGGCACTTTTTATTTGGAAAGAGCTTTGCAGTCATTTTTTCTTAGCTAGGCTTGCATGCTGGGTGACCTTGTACAAATCACATAATCCCTTTGTGTCTTAAACTTCCTCAAATGTAAACTGTTGGCAGTAATACTGACCCACCCTCAAGGGGTATTGTGGAGACTAATGGGGGCTGAAAGGCACTCAGCAAACAAAAATGTTACATGCATGCTTATTAGACAGGTATGAAGACCTAGTCACAGTCTTTTAAAATGAAACAAATTCCAAAATAAACCCAAGCCTTTCCTGCAATCTTCGTCATCATCTCACAGATACTTTCCCAACACCAAAGTACAGTAGTTCTCCCTTTCCAGCAAGACTAATAAAGTGACATAATCTATACTCACAAAGATAGAGCTAATCATGGCAGCAAATATGTAAAACAGACCTGAAGTATAGTTTGTTAACCTTCTCATTTATCATTCATAATGCAATTTAGAGATTCTATCTAAAAAACACACTCTTCTGAAAAATATTCTTAGAAAAAATTCATGCGTGTTCACACAAGACTGTAAGCTGATGCTACATACTCACTGTTGATGTTAAGCCTGAAGGTGCTTTCTAGTCTGCTGGTTGTTTTTTCCATGGCTATATTTAGCCTCTTCTCATCCTCCCCCACGTGGCTGAAAGAATATATGGTCAAAATGAGACTTTGAGACCTAGCTCAAGTTGGGGATCGGTGAGAACGGGAGGCAGAGGAAGAGTTTCTAACCTTGGAACCAAAGACAGGTCTTGCAAGGATGGTGACCCACAACTAAGAACTCACTTGTAATATATTTTCAGGTTCTTGGAAAAGGGAGTCAGAAAACAGCCATAGTTTTCCCTTTTTCCATTTTGCTTTGAAAAGGCCACAAAACTTTCAGGGGCCAGGTCCAATTACATATTCCAATTCATTTGCAAGTGAATAGTTTCTTTGACTCTGAATAAGAATTAGTGCCCTCATGCCCACCACAGCTGATGTGAGCTATGAATTCTAAGCAAGCATGACCTTTCTGGGGACACTCGACCTTGACTATGCTCTTTTCTCTTTGGACTTCTGAGAGATTGGTTGTATTTCCAAGGGCAGTTGTCTGCTTTAGTTAAGCTCAGAACCTGCTAACAATTAAATTCTATCAAACAAATATTTACTGAGTACTTATACCTGAGGATAATACTGTAGTGATTACTGCAGAGGCCATGAAAAGTACCTTGAGATGCTATAACTCAATGACCTTGGATCCTTTACCCAGGACAAGACCAATAACCTCCCCACAAAGACTCCCAGGGTTTAGTCAGCTGACATGCCTGTTTCCAGACGCATCCTAAATTGGCCTTCACCAGACACCAAGATGAAATGTCATTAACTTCTCACACAGTATTTTGCTCCCTGCAATATCCCGTTAGACCTTGTTCAGAATTCAGAAGCTCCTGTGAAAAGAGCCTCAGTCTTATTGGTTGGGAAAGTTATCTACTGCACATAGTTTTTGTTTTTTAAACAAGGTTAATTCTGGCATGTTTTGGCCTCAATCATCTTTGAGAGTTTCAGCATTTTTGCTGCACATCTTAAGAAGAGAAAGAACCCACGTTAGCTTCAGTTTTAATAGTTAGGAGAAATTAATGCTAATACATGCCTTCAATGGGATTCACTTAGGTATCCTGAACACTTTCTTCCATCAATATGGAAAGTCCCCAGATGTATGTATTGTGGATTTTTCCTCTGTAAAGAGATGCAAATGGTTACAATCAGTTGTATGATTTCCTCTGAGTCTTTCAAAGTTCTGTTTTCTCTGTATCTCAAGGTAAGCATCCCTGCTTTGCAGATCTAGAAGCCAAGACAACATGGATTAGTTTTATCACTTTCCTCAGTGAAACAGAGACCATCTTGTCCCAGCCCATTGCTCTCCTACAAAGCACAGGAAAAAGTTATGGCATTTTAAGAGAGAAGAGAAATCAGATACAGTTTTCTGGTCCAGTGCTTGTTCTTTATCTTTCACATAGAATCCTTAAGATCTTAGATGAAATTTAATGATCCTTACATGTTAACTTTACTTTCTTTCAACTTCTTTAAGAAACAAACAAACAAAAAAAAAACATGGAAAAACACTTAACCACTTATTTGTGGATCTCTCTATAACCCGGGTCATAAAATACAATCCGGGCAAAGCCAAACAAGGCACTAGAGGGTTGAGAGACAAGGAGAATGTTACGCATTAGATTTAGGATTTTGAAATATTCCGTTTTAGTGGTTTCCTGTTTTTCTTCACATATCGGGTCAACAGTGGCCTGTCATTTGTTGCAGGTATTTAGGTATTTGCTCTAGAGGAAAACTTCTCTGACTGATCACGGACAGGAATTTACCAAACAAAAAACAAAACAAAAAAACCCACTCTTCCATAATACCAGATCAATAAGAAGTGCCCTATTTCACAAATGTTAAAATTTTCAGTTTTAATTTTTATGTCACCTAAGTTTTCTCATCTCACCCACCCCTTGAGGGCATCTCTTTATTTCTTTATAGGAAGATTTAAATAAGCAATCGGTTTCCTTTCTAAGCATTTTTGGATTAACAATAATACTTCTCTCACTTGTATTTTAGCCCAGATGATTAAACAGTAAAAATGCTAATTAGTAGCCTGTATCTGAAGAGAAAAAGCTATTTCTTAATGGGCGAAATTCAAGCTGAGATGGAGACCTCATAGGGCACTACAATAAACGGGTTAGGTTGCATGCTAAGGGGAAAGGATTAGGGACCGAATTGACCAACTCCGGAGAGAGATTCTGGCTTAGTGGAAACACTAAGCTGAGATCCGAATATATTAAAGATACTGACAACACTAAAGTTATCAAAATGCAGCCATTTGTTATCAATCGTAGAGCACAATTTGTCTTTGTCTTTCTTACTGACCTGCAGCTGACTTGAGAAATAAAATAAATTACATGCTAAGAAATTAATTTTATTTTTCTTCCATTTACTTTTCCTTTCTGGAAAGACATTGAGCCAGGGTGGAGGGCATATTACTAGATGAGCATTGCGAATACAATGTCCAGAATCTGCACCCTTCTTCCCACAAACACCTATGAGGAAGTCAAAAGTCCTACTTCCAAATTCCACATCTGTCAGTTATGAGCTCCATAATGGTGGGCAAGTCTGAATTTCCAAATGCATTAGTGTTCTCATCCACTGAAGGAGGAAAAATAATATGTATCTCGTTGGAATGCTGTGAAGGTTAGAAAAGCCAGTGTATGAGAAACCATCTGGAGACTAAGTGTATATTAGCACTCAGTGCGTGTTAGAATAATGAGGGAATGGAAGAAGTCAGAGAGGAGTCGAGCTCTCACTGCCCACAGGCTAAAATCTATATATTTAGCCGGGCATTCAGTGTGCTGGAAAATCTGCTTTCTCCTCACCAGCGCTTTTTTGACAAACGTCCTGCTGTGGTCAAACATTCTCCAATACACCTTGAACGTGCCCACCTTCCTTGCTCTGGCATTCACACCACCCTCAGCCTCTCTTTGCCAAAATTCTACCCATCCCTCAAGGGTCTCAAATCCCACTGTCTCCGGGAATGTGAGGGGACTCACCTTCTCCTCCTCTAAACCCTGGTCCTTGCTGGCTAGAGCACTCCTGGAGACACCATCCACAAAACGCTTACTGCCCCAGCAGACTCCCTGCACGTCAGGGACCACGCATACAGTACCCATCGCTATACGCCACACACTGTGGTACCTTGCCAAGGAGAGGTGCTGAAAAGACCCGTGATTGAATAAATACATGATTTCTCACCCTGCCCCTGTTGTGCGCTTGGACAAAACACTTTGCCTTCAGTCTCAGTCGCCTCAGCTGTGAACAGAGGATAACAGCATGGATATACTCCCCAGGTGTGCTATGAAGAATACACCAATGACTGAAAAGCAATTTGAAAATGTAAAATGAAATGCTATATATAAATGTTACATAATCAAAATCATTTCCCTCTGTATTATGGTTTATTTGGCTTTATATCTTGGAATCCTTTGTGGGTTTCAGAATCTCACAGATGCAAAACCATCCACATTAGCACCTAAATTCTCTTGGGTAATAAACGATTGTGTGTATTATAGCTCACGGCTACTTTTCCCTGGCATACTTACACATGAATCTGTCATAATTTGGGGCATTCATAATAACTAATGATACAATTCATTTCTTAAGGATAATCCATTCTTTTCCTTCTTTAGCCAGTTACTGTTCCCACATTGCTGCCTCAAGGGAACTAACTTTCATTAAACCCCAAATCCAGATGATGAGCACACTGTCTGGAAGCCCAAACTGAGGAGGTTATAGTCGTAGACCTGGAAGTGGTTTGGAGTTTTGAAGCACCATTTGTTTTCTGTGGCCATTTTTGTCCTGAATTCTGAACCTGTCACTCGCTTTATTGTATGTTACCAAGTGCTCAATGCAGCCTAATTGAGGTACCAGGCAAGACTGGATTAGCCCTTTCCGTAGGAAAACAGGCAATGCTAGTTGCAAATACTATTACTAAAAGAGGCTGCTGACTTTTAGTCCATAGAAGAATATAAATCTTAGAACAGTCCTTCCACATAGATAGCAACTCTGAGGAAGGAGAGACAGTAGCAACATTAGGGGCTGATTGTGAGCATCAAGTGAGTAATTAGATGGAAGAGTATGGAACAGCGCAGGACATATAGTGAGTGTCAATAAATATGAGGCATTGTTATTATCAGCAGAAGGACCAGTATGAGCCCAGCCCTGTGCTAAGAGTTACACAGAGATTCTTGCTTGAGATTCATAATAAGCTAAGCAGAAAAAACTCAACATTCTTCACCGCCACCCCAATTATCTCAGAGAAGCTAAGCACCTTGTCCGAGGTCTCAAAGTTAGGAAGCAACAGAAAGGAAATAAAACCTTCAGTCGATCATGTTTCTTCAGCCCATATTGTTTGTCCTGTTTCTCAGAACACCCTGCTGTTCTTATTTTTAACTTAGGTTGGGAGTCTGTTTTTCCTTCTTGAGTACATGACCCTCCCTTTCCAAATTCCTCAGTGTTACTCACTCTGAAGTTTTAAAATTAACGGTATTTTTTAATCTCTTCTGGTGGCCTTCTGACCAATGTGTGTAGTTTTATGTGCCAGGCCATCTTCCTTAGATCATTCTAGCCTTTCATCAGAGTTGTCCTCACACGGTGGCATCCATTTTTAACAAGTTCAGTGTAGATTTTTTTCCAGGGCATGCATGAGGAAATCCCAAGTTTGTGTACAACAGAGGCTTCCCTTTCCCACACATTTCTGTTATCACATTTTTCCTTGGTTGGACCTGAGGCAATAGAACTTTGACAGGGGGTGCCTGCAATATCATTTAAACACATGAGAGAGGGGCGCCTGGGTGGCGCAGTCGGTTAAGCGTCCGACTTCAGCCAGGTCATGATCTTGCGGTCCGTGAGTTCGAGCCCCGCGTCGGGTTCTGGGCTGATGGCTCAGAGCCTGGAGCCTGTTTCCGATTCTGTGTCTCCCTCTCTCTCTGCCCCTCCCCCGTTCATGCTCTGTCTCTCTCTGTCCCAAAATAAATAAACGTTGAAAAAAAAAATTTTTTTAAATAAATAAATAAATAAACACATGACAGATCATTGTTTTGTGGGTGGTA